GGATGATCAACTGGCACCACGGAGCCTACTAGAGTAGTGGATGATCAACTGGCACTACGGTGCCTACTGGAGTAGTGGATGATCAACTGGCACCACGGAGCCTACTAGAGTAGTGGATGATCAACTGGCACTACGGTGCCTACTGGAGTAGTGGATGATCAACTGGCACCACGGTGCCTACTAGAGTACTGGATGATCAACTGGCACCACGGTGCCTACTAGAGTACTGGATGATCAACTGGCACCACGGTGCCTACTAGAGTAGTGGATGATCAACTGGCACCACGGTGCCTAATAGAGTAGTGGATGATCAACTGGCACCACGGAGCCTACTAGAGTAGTGGATGATCAACTGGCACTACGGTGCCTACTGGAGTAGTGGATGATCAACTGGCACCACGGTGCCTACTAGAGCACTGGATGATCAACTGGCACCACGGTGCCTACTGGAGTAGTGGATGATCAACTGGCACCACGGTGCCTACTAGAGTAGTAGATGATCAACTGGCACCACGGCGCCTACTAGAGTAGTGGATGATCAACTGGCACCACGGTGCCTACTAGAGTAGTGGATGATCAACTGGCACCACGGTGCCTACTAGAGTAGTGGATGATCAACTGGCACCACTGTGCCTACTAGAGTAGTGGATGATCAACTGGCACCACGGTGCCTACTAGAGTAGTGGATGATCAACTGGCACCACGGTGCCTACTAGAGTAGTGGATGATCAACTGGCACCACGGTGCCTACTAGAGTAGTGGATGATCAACTGGCACCACGGTGCCTACTAGAGTAGTGGATGATCAACTGGCACCACGGCGCCTACTAGAGCAGTGGATGATCAACTGGCACCACGGTGCCTACTAGAGTAGTGGATGATCAACTGGCACCACGGTGCCTACTAGAGTAGTGGATGATCAACTGGCACCACGGTGCCTAATAGAGTAGTGGATGATCAACTGGCACCACGGTGCCTACTAGAGTAGTGGATGATCAACTGGCACCACGGCGCCTACTAGAGTAGTGGATGATCAACTGGCACCACGGTGCCTACTAGAGTAGTGGATGATCAACTGGCACCACGGTGCCTACTAGAGTAGTGGATGATCAACTGGCACCACGGTGCCTAATAGAGTAGTGGATGATCAATTGGCACCACGGTGCCTACTAGAGTAGTGGATGATCAACTGGCACCACGGTGCCTACTAGAGTAGTGGATGATCAATTGGCACCACTGTGCCTACTAGAGTAGTGGATGATCAACTGGCACCACGGTGCCTACTAGAGCAGTGGATGATCAACTGGCACCACGGTGCCTACTAGAGTAGTGGATGATCAACTGGCACCACGGTGCCTACTAGAGTAGTGGATGATCAACTGGCACCACGGTGCCTACTAGAGTAGTGGATGATCAACTGGCACCACGGTGCCTACTAGAGTAGTGGATGATCAACTGGCACCACGGTGCCTACTAGAGTAGTGGATGATCAACTGGCACCACGGCGCCTACTAGAGTAGTGGATGAACAACTGACACCACGGTGCCTACTAGAGTAGTAGATGATCAACTGGCACCACGGCGCCTACTAGAGTAGTGGATGATCAACTGGCACCACGGTGCCTACTAGAGTAGTGGATGATCAACTGGCACCACGGTGCCTACTAGAGTAGTGGATGATCAACTGGCACCACTGTGCCTACTAGAGTAGTGGATGATCAACTGGCACCACGGTGCCTACTAGAGTAGTGGATGATCAACTGGCACCACGGTGCCTACTAGAGTAGTGGATGATCAACTGGCACCACGGTGCCTACTAGAGTAGTGGATGATCAACTGGCACCACGGTGCCTACTAGAGTAGTGGATGATCAACTGGCACAACGGCGCCTACTAGAGTAGTGGATGATCAACTGGCACCACGGTGCCTACTAGAGTAGTGGATGATCAACTGGCACCACGGTGCCTACTAGAGTAGTGGATGATCAACTGGCACCACGGTGCCTAATAGAGTAGTGGATGATCAACTGGCACCACGGTGCCTACTAGAGTAGTGGATGATCAACTGGCACCACGGCGCCTACTAGAGTAGTGGATGATCAATTGGCACCACGGCGCCTACTAGAGTAGTGGATGATCAACTGGCACCACGGTGCCTACTAGAGTAGTGGATGATCAACTGGCACCACGGTGCCTAATAGAGTAGTGGATGATCAACTGGCACCACGGTGCCTACTAGAGTAGTGGATGATCAACTGGCACCACGGTGCCTACTAGAGTAGTGGATGATCAATTGGCACCACTGTGCCTACTAGAGTAGTGGATGATCAACTGGCACCACGGTGCCTACTAGAGTAGTGGATGATCAACTGGCACCACGGTGCCTACTAGAGTAGTGGATGATCAACTGGCACCACGGTGCCTACTAGAGTAGTGGAAGATCAACTGGCACCACGGTGCCTACTAGAGTAGTGGATGATCAACTGGCACCACGGCGCCTACTAGAGTAGTGGATGAACAACTGGCACCACGGTGCCTACTAGAGTAGTGGATGATCAACTGGCACCACGGTGCCTACTAGAGTAGTGGATGATCAACTGGCACCACGGTGCCTACTAGAGTAGTGGATGATCAACTGGCACCACGGTGCCTACTAGAGTAGTGGATGATCAACTGGCACCACGGTGCCTACTAGAGTAGTGGATGATCAATTGGCACCACTGTGCCTACTAGAGTAGTGGATGATCAACTTGCACCACGGTGCCTACTAGAGTAGTGGATGATCAACTGGCACCACGGTGCCTACTAGAGTAGTGGATGATCAACTGGCACCACGGTGCCTACTAGAGTAGTGGATGATCAACTGGCACCACGGTGCCTACTAGAGTAGTGGGTGATCAACTGGCACCACGGTGCCTAATAGAGTAGTGGATGATCAACTGGCACCACGGTGCCTACTAGAGTAGTGGATGATCAACTGGCACCACGGTGCCTACTAGAGTAGTGGATGATCAACTGGCACCACGGCGCCTACTAGAGTAGTGGATGATCAACTGGCACCACGGTGCCTACTAGAGTAGCGGATGATCAACTGGCACCACGGTGCCTACTAGAGTAGTGGATGATCAACTGGCACCAGGGCGCCTACTAGAGTAGTGGATGATCAACTGGCACCACGGTGCCTAATAGAGTAGTGGATGATCAACTGGCACCACGGTGCCTACTAGAGTAGTGGATGATCAACTGGCACCACGGTGCCTACTAGAGTAGTGGATGATCAACTGGCACCACGGTGCCTACTAGAGTAGTGGATGATCAACTGGCACCACGGTGCCTACTAGAGTAGTGGATGATCAACTGGCACCACTGTGCCTACTAGAGTAGTGGATGATCAACTGGCACCACGGTGCCTACTAGAGTAGTGGATGATCAACTGGCACCACGGTGCCTACTAGAGTAGTGGATGATCAACTGGCGCCACGGTGCCTACTAGAGTAGCGAAACTCCAAGTTTCCTGTTAGAGCGTAAATAAAATTGACCTAGAGCTAGAGTCCTGTTATTTCTTTGTTCCGCCAAGTCACTGCTAATGCCGTCAGTTATCAGGAAATATTGCATAACACAATCCTACAGAACACTGTGTTGCAGAACCTGTGTCGCCAAACACGGTGTTGTAGAACACGGTGTTTCAGAACACGATATTGCACAACACGGTGTTGGAGACCACGGTGTTGCAGAAAAAGGTGTTGCATAATACGGTACTACAGAACAAAGAGTTGCATAACACGGTGCTACAGAACACGGTGTTGTGTTGCAGAACACAGTACTACATAAAACGGTGTTGCAAAGGACGGTGTTGTAGAAGATGGTGTTGCAGAACACGGCGCTACAGAACACGGTAGCAGCAGAACACTTGCTGCAGAATACGGTGTTGCATAACACGGTGTTGAAGAACACACTGCTGGAGAAGACACTGTGGCAGAACAATGGTGCTGCAGAACACTGTATTGCAGAGCACGGTGCTGCTGAACTCGTTGTTTCTGAACACTGTGTTCATAAACACGATATTAGAGAACCAGTGATTTAGAACACGGTGTTCCTGAACACTGTGTTAGAGAAACCAGTGTTTCAGAACACTGTGTCTCAGAACTGGGCGTTCCTGAACACTGTGCTCTTGAGCACCATATTGAATAAATCAGTGTTCCAGAACTCGGTGCTTCAGAACTGGGTGTTCATGAACACTGTGTTTTTGAACACGATGTTGGAGAACCCAGGGTTTTCGAACACGGTGTGGGTACAGCAAGTAATCATGAGATTTAAAAACATTGGCTACTAGATGGTGCTGTCTCTTATTTTTTAATCAAATATTTGTGTTTCCTCACAGGAAAATGTTTTGACATAGACATTAAGAGGTGGCGAGTAGGATATATATATATACCAACTGATGTAGTAAGATAGTGGAATGAATGGAAATCAATAACCATGTAGTTACTTGTTATTTATTAACGTAATATAGAGTGTTATTACTGGCAAGGTGAGACAATTGATTTGGGGATACAATCTATGCTGGAGTAAGAGAGAGGAATATGCGGTATAATTGTTGTTGTGTTAGATTAGTGAAAATGAGATATAATCCTTGACGTGGAGGACAGTGGGATGTGGGGTATATTCCTTGATGTGATGGGACAGTGAGATGTAGGATAAAAAAAAAATCTTGACGTAGTGTGATAACGGATGGAAGGAAAAATCTATGGCCAGAACCCTTACGACTCAGATTACGTTAAGATTTTGATAGGTTCGACAAGACGAAAAATAAGCAAGAACGTGCATAGCGGTGTTTGGAGAACAGGAGTTCGAAGATGAAATATTCCTTATGAAAATGAAGGAAAATACTTTGAGAAATATCTGTAACAGAATAATGTATTCCTCACAAAATGATTTCATTATTATATCACACCGAAACTATACCGATTTTATTTAATCAGTGATTAAACAATTTTAAACCGTTAGACTGAGTGCTGAATGTTGCTGACTCGAAGCTCTATGCAGAGTACCAACAGACTGATGACATATCCAGCAACCAGAACAACGAACATTCCCTGAAAAATAGAACCTCGTGTATTGTAATACATTTTTACATTCGACAAATATGCAAATATATTCTATATTTTAATCATTTCTGTTAAACCTCAGTAATAAACATCATACAAAGGATGAAGGATTTATTACCCAAGTATTACTCAGTGAAAGTGCAGTCTTGACGGTGATCTTGGTCGGTGCATGATAACACGTTGTGATGTTAGGCTCATCCATTTTTAACCATTGGAAGAATAACCCAGCCTCTGTCATCGACATTATCCTGAAAACAAAAACTCAAATTTTCTTCTTAAATACTATTAAAAGTACACGTATTAATGATCTATATTTCTGAAGGACAGAGTTAATGTACGGGAAATGCAGGATAGATATAGAAGAGAGAAGAGAACTCAGTTAAAATGGAATCGAAATGAATCGAAAGAACTGAAAAGTCAAAGAGAAAACAGACACATATATAACTGAAAAGCGTAGTCCGAACAGACAAAATAAAGGAAAGACATTGCTGACGAAAATATTGAGTGAAGTGTGTACACAGAGAAGTCAACTGAGAGATAACAAGGAGTTCATATGCATCATAAATTAGAAAGTGCTAAGTGGTGAAAAATATCGACACGAAGAAAAAAAGGGCAGATGCAATATAATGGGATCATTTTTTTTTTTTTGCTACGTTTCTCTCACACAGTGAGCTTATCAGGTCACAAACAGATCTACCAGAGCAAAGAGCACATGAATGTATATATATAGGAAGCATAATAAGGTAAAGAGTCATGTGGGGAATGCTAAGGACTTGCATGGAATGGGTAAGAATGCTTAATGTTATGTAGGATAACTATGAAAAAGTTTCCTGGCAAGGGACTCAAATTATATTGTAAAAGCTTTTTGTTCTGGTTAAAGTTGCTGGATATACAGATGAGCGATGATTCCAGGAAACTGCAACACTTCTTGGCTTCGAGCCTTGCGTCTCTGTAGTTAGTTAAGTGGTTCTGAAAGTTTTAATGTAAAACACAGGCATTCCTCAGATCATCCGTTCTGCTTGCCTATTGGTGTTATGAAATATGTTTGTAGGTTTATGGATATCTCGCCCACGTATAATTGGTTGCAATCGTTGCAAGGGATCACGTAAACCCCTGCAGGTGATTGAACCTGGTGGTGTCCCTTACTGGTGATGCGTTTGACTGTAGGGGATGTGGAGGTGGATACTTGGAATGCGGTACTGGAAAATATGTTGGAGACGTGTTTAGCAATGGAGTTCATGGGAAGGAATATGTATCTCCTCACTGCGGTATCTTGTCTGGGCGAGTTAAAGATGTTATATGCTCGGCGCCTGCAGTCTTTAATGAAGTGACGAGGATAATAAAGTTTAGAAAATACTTATTCAATGAAAGAACATTCTTCCTGAAGGAATTCACTACTACAGATAAGGAGAGCACGAAAGAAGAAGCCTATGATTACACCACGTTTAGTAACAGTGTTGACTAAACGTGGCGTAATCATAGGCTTTTTACTTCGTAGCCTCCTAATCGGAGGTAGCGAATTCCTCAAGGAACAATGGTCTGTCACGGAACGAGTATGTTCTAATCTTCACTATCTTCGTCACTTTGTAAAAGACTGCGAATACCATGCATGTATCATCATCAACTGAGACAAGATACCGCTGTAAGAAAATACATAATCCTCCCCACTAATTACGATACCAAAAACGTCTTCAGTATCTTTTCCGATACTACATTACAAGTATTTATCTCCGTATCCACCACCATCAAAGACACCACCGGGTTCAATACTCTGTAGGGGTATGCGTAATCCTTGCAACGATTGCAACCAATTATACGTGGGAGAGATATCCAGAGACCTCCAAACACGCATTTCACAACGCACATACGCAAGCACAATGAGGAATATCTGTGTTTTACACTTAAACTTCTACAGTTTTTTAATTAACTACTTAAACGCAATACTTATCACTCATTTGTTTATCAAAGAATTTCAGCCAGAACAACGGCTTTCAAAACACAGCTGAGCCCCATGGCAGGAAACTTTTTCATCGTTTTCCATCATAGCAACCAAACTACTTTCCCCATTCAGTACAAGTCCGGTTCAAGTCCCACTTCTCAGCATTCCTCACCTGATACTTCACGTCACTATGCTCTCTATAAATACTCATGTACGTTTTGCTCAGTTTGTGATGTGAAAAGCTCACTGTGTGGGCGAAACATAGTCAATAAAAGATCACATTATTCTTTATTTGTGTCTATTTCTCCATTCATTTACAAAGGGCAGAGAACGCGAAGAAGACATGGTGAAAAGACGACAAAGAAAGCCAAAAAAAAGCACAGACGACATTGAAATTAGAAATATTAATCTCACTAGTAACACGAAAGAAAGCAGGAAGAAATAAAAAAAAAAAACAAGTGGAAGAGAGAGCAGAAAAGGATAAAAAAGAACAATGAGGATATTTAAGACCAATATAAGAAGAGTGTAGCTGTGCCCGACACCTGTGTGATCACAACAACTTTGTAAAATAATTTAGTGGTGTTTTTACTCTTTTACAAAGTCTATGGCATAAGAAATACTAACCATCAATAGATGGTTCCTGCCAAAACTAATAGAAAAATACTCTTTTTATGAAAATCACGTTGTTTTTACCTGTTATTAAGAGCCGGGATGATAGGATTACCCTTTCCACCAATCATTCCAAAAATCAAAGGTAAAAACTCTTCTCTCGATAAATAAAACGAACATCTGCCTGTAAAAATATATATAATAAGAATCTCACTTTTGAGTGCAAGCAAACTACATCCATTAAAATTTAAATCCTTCAATTATACGATGAAAGTAAAACCGGAAACAATATCAGCATCTAAAATAATATAGGAAAGGTTTTGAATCAGCCTAACCTGTTTTTGTAAAGTCTTGAGCAATGTATGTCCTTAAGCCGTTGTCATCTTCCATAAGGACGTGGTCGCCTCGTCTTACCAAGGTGTTAATATATCCTGCAAACTGTGCGTGTGTTCCCCACATGAGGCGACCAACCTGCTCCGCATCAGCAATCTCTCTATATATGCCTGTCTCAACGGACTGAAAACATTAATTAGTTATGAATCAAATTATTTCCCTCATCAATTCTATGATTAACCTCATCCTTCATAAATCCATCCGCCGAGTGCTTTGAGGTATATGTGGAGTCAAAAAACGTTATCTATGGAGGCAAAGCAGGGAATGTATGAAAGTATAGTAGTACCAACACTCTTATATGGATGTGAAGCTTGGGTGGTAAATGCAGCAGCGAGGAGACGGTTGGAGGCAGTGGAGATGTCCTGTCTAAGGGCAATGTGTGGTGTAAATATTATGCAGAAAATTCGGAGTGTGGAAATTAGGAGAAGGTGTGGAGTTAATAAAAGTATTAGTCAGAGGGCTGAAGAGGGGTTGTTGAGGTGTTTGGTCATTTAGGAGAGAATGGATCAAAGTAGAGTGACATGGAAAGCATATAAATCTATAGGGGAAGGAAAGAGGGGTAGGGGTCGTCCCGAAAGGGTTGGAAAGAGGGGGTAAAGGAGGTTTTGTGGGCGAGGGGCTTGGACTTCCAGCAAGCGTGCATGAGCGTGTTAGATAGGAGTGAATGCAGACGAATGATACTTGGGACCTGACGATCTGTTGGAGTGTGAGCAGGGTAATATTTAGTGAAGGGATTCAGGGAAACCGGTTATTTTCATTTAGTCGGACTTGAGTCCTGGAAATGGGAAGTACAATGCCTGCACTTTAAAGGAGGGGTTTGGGATATTGGCAGTTTGGAGGGTATGTTGTGTATCTCTATACGTATATGCTTCTAAACTGTTGTATTCTGAGCACCTCTGCAAAAGCAGTGATAATGTGTGAGTGTGGTGAAAGTGTTGAATGATGATGAAAGTATTTTCTTTTTGGGGATTTTCTTTCTTTTTTTGGGTCACCCTGCCTCGGTGGGAGACGGCCGACTTGTTGAAAAAAAAAAAAGAATCAAATTATGAATAATGAACAAAGGATTGTATATAAAATTAGATTTTTTTTTATTCAGCGTTGTTTTAAATATGACCGCTCTATTACACACGTGCAAATATTCTCCAACAGCAGAGCCTTTTAGCCATATCATAGTAACAGAAGGGTCGTCCAGCACTTGTCGGCGGGTCTGGTAAGGTTCGGAGATGTGTCTCACAGCCAGCAGAGCCATCAGGTTGCCAGAGTAACTTCGTGTTAACACCAATGTCACCATCATCCACACGATCAAAATCACCCTCTCCCATTCCCAGATTGCTGGCGTCGTCATATCTGAAGGAGACATTGTATAAGGAAATCTAAACTACAGCTTTGTCTGTATCATAATCAGTAATAGTTCTCTATATTACACAAGGTGTTAAAGAATAACAATCTACAGTATCACCGTCTTTTTCATCTGTTGCTATATTTTTATTCTTACTGTTAAAATTTACATATTCATAGAAACTTCAGATATATTCTGCAATTCTGTTTTGAAAAACGAAATAATTTGGTGACTGCTATTATATCATTAACATTAGGTTAAACCCACCTTGCTGCAATAATATTCGAATATATCCAAAGGTGACCTGAAGCCAGTTGCCTTGACCATGGAAATCGTGAAAGAAACTCGAGGACATACAGAATACAGAGCCAGGAAGCACCACAAGCGCTACCAGGACAGCCGCCCACACCATGGGTGCCAAGGGGAATAGGAAACCCCATGGGTCCACCTCTGGAAGACCTCGAGCACCCAGGATTTTCCAGTAGTCTACTAGTATTGCCACAGTGAAATCTACAACCTCAGCTCGGTCTTCGCTAAGAATGAATGGACCTACGCCAATACTCACTTCCTGGATAGACCACAAATCATATAATATATAGAATAAGTATGAGTATGACAATGCCATAGTTCTTAGAAATTATCAAACAATCATCAAAAATAGATATCGAAGCTAGGAGAAAGATGATACTGAGCTGAATTTTAGCTAAAAGTTGCTGATCTGTAGTGATTCGTATGTTTGAGTAATCAGCACAGTTGAGATTGAATATCTTCAGTTAACTAATCATGGAGCTATCTAGCAAATTTTGGGCAAAGGAAGGTAGCTTCAGAGGCTACAAATTGCATTTACACCTTGAGATGTGTATCTTCCAATACTTTACTTGATTAAAGAATTCTTGACTCAGTGAACTGGCTATGTGCAGTCTTTATTTTCCTTTTCTAGTGTATACGCTTTAAACTCAATTAATTGACCAACTAAGAGGCTTCTCATTGGCCAGTGGCCAGACAAGAGGAAAGGACCATCATCGGACAGAAGTACACCATGTCAAGTACTTCAGTATTTGGTCTGACTGGTGAGGAAGTATACTGATCACAGTTACATATTAACGTTCACTGTCGTTACTTAGTTGATCACTTACTGGGCGTTCAGGCCATCGCCTATATTTCGACGGAACTCGCCTGTCCCTCTCAAAAGCAGTATTGAAAAAATATGTGAAAACGGTGACAGTTATATATCATAGAATTTCAAGGTTTCATGACAGTGATATATCAAGTAGAGATTTGCAGAGCTGCAACTACTGACATTGTCTCGAGTCTTTCATATCGCAATATTCATTGATCAGGTGACATTGAAACCTTTTTGGGGGTTTGCAATTGGTAACGAGTAACACAGTGCCATAATAACTGCATTAGTCATAATTAGGTATCCTCAGATCGGGATCATTAAGTAGTTCTCTGATTTCTTTCTTCTTTCTACTTATCATTTTCGGTAATTTCAAAACGCCATGATGTTTGTCATCTAATGTCCGATTTGGACCATTTACAAAGTCACTCTAACAAAAAGGAGAGAAGGAGAGAGTATATATAGGCCAGCAGACAGGGACGGGACAAGAGAGGTAGTAGGAAAGGAAGAAAAGTAGTGGTAGAGGTAGTAGTAGTAGTAATAGTAGTGGAGCCAGTCAAAGAATAAGAAACAGGAGCACTGCAAGGGAGCTGTGGGCACCTAGCTCCCTTGCAGTGCTCCTCTTTCTGAGTCTTTGACTCCGCTACCACTACTACTACCTCTACCACTACCTCTCTTCCTCCTTTCCTACTACCTCTCTTGTCCCGTCCCTGTTTGCTGGCCTGTATATACTCCCTCCTTCTCTCCTTTTTGTTAGTGTTACTTTGTAAATGGTCCAAGTTGGACCGAAACGTCGTCGTAAGCTCCTTTCTCCTATGTGCGGGTTATTTGTGTATTGTCCCAGACACGTTATTGTGCCTTTTCGTTATCTCTTGTTAATTATTATTATTATTATTATTATTATTATTATTATTATTATTATTATTATTATTATTATTATTATTAATCTTCTTTACTTGACTCACCTCCCTCCCTTGACTTACATCCCTTACTACACTTTCTTACTAATCTCACCTCCCTCATCACCATTCCCACCATTCCATTCCACGACCCATCGTCTTGCTTCGAGCCCCAGACACCATCAGGAGGACGCACATTTGTATACCTGTAGATAAAAATACAAGTACAAATGTCGTACCGAATAAGCTGGCTCGGCTAATTTGGGATAACACATAAATAACTTAAAAAGCAAAGGCCATTTCTGCCAATTAAGCCATTAGAAACAGTCCTGTATACACCGCCAAAACAGTGTTGAGGGGAATTCCTTATCAAAATGCATTTAACAATCCGTGAATTCTTAAAAACTACTTGTAGGTTGAATCTTTTTAGGGCATTCGGCAGGGCACATAAATTCTCATTGTATAGGAGAACTAGTACATTCATTATCTGAGATGTTATCCTAGGTTCCGTCTTATGATAAGGTTTCCTAGATGCCAGCAGAACCGTTTCTACAAACTCCTTATGGTACAGTAGTTTCGTAGCAACATCAAATATTTTCTTACTTTCCTCATCGAGATCCTCTGGGCTTCACACTTGGTAAGCTCTCAGAAACATAATGAGAAAGACAAACCTTTTTTTTTCTCTTGTCTCATAGTTAGAATAGTAGTGAAAATATGGACAAACATTAGTAGCCTTCCAATTTACTGAACTTGAAAATTCTATCAACCCAGTGTATTGAAGCATCTAAGAATGGAAATTTAGATTCCACCTCTTTCTTTGACGGTGAATTTAATTGACGGGGCAAGAACGGCAAGTCTCGGTAAAAATATATCCAGGTCCATATCAATCGGCCGAAGACACAAGAAGTCATCCATACATCTTAACCACTTACCTTCAAGGGGTAACATATCTTTCAAAACGCCATTTATAAATTGCTTAATAAGAGATATAATGAATTTCCCATAGCCTTTTCCTGCCTTTGAGCATAAAATGTCCCTTCAAACGCACAACTTAATCATGTCCTAACATTATGATGTTCTTATCCAGTGGCAGGGGAACTAATCAATTCTTCATTCAGATAGGATAACCGATTCAGAAAGGGAACTCGGGTAATCAACGAAGTGACATCAAAGCTTCCTTACTTAAAATCATTGGACATGTTCATGTTCTGCAATTTGTAAATGCGAACCAGAGATTTCTTATTAAGGGATACGTCAGTTCCCTTGTCTTCTAATAACGTTTTCATTTTTCCTCTATTATCTATCATGTTCATGTTCATCATAACATTCGCAATGTCTGCTTTCGTAAGGTGAAATCTAGGATCTTTCCATTATTCATGGAATGATTTTCAAATTGTTGAGGACTAGTTCGGTTCCACAGGGCCAAGCAAGCCCCATATAACTTGCCTTTGGAAACAATAATGTTTCCCTGGATAGGTTTTCTTGTTTCTCCAGATTTCAAAAAGAGTTATTAGGTTCAACTTAATTAGTGTTGCCGCTAGTAGGAGAAAAAACGTATCCCATATGTTAGCAATATCTGTTGGTCCTGCGTAAGCTTCACACTTGATAAGTTAAATGTGAAATCCAGGTTAGAGTGTTGGGACGGACCACTTTGTTCTTTGAGTTTTTTTTTTTCCTGGCATATAAACATTTAGTTTTATCTCATTATTCTCAACCCCCTACATATGTAATCTAAAAAACGATCTTGCCTCTAGAGTTTTACTGTGATGAAGAATTTTTGTTTTGCCTTTCTCATTTCAATAAATAACATTTTCCTTTTATGTTTTAACAGATAAATATTCTTTGAAAGGATTAACTTATGTAAATGGCCTAACATAATCACAGAAAGATTAAGCAATCTGTTCTGTAGAAGCAATTTTGGTAATATCTGTTCACTAACGCACTTTCGTTAAAACACTAATTTTAATGATGCTTTATGGGCTTTAAGAATAACAGATTTGTAAGAGAAAACAGCAAAGGAGGACGAAGGGAAAAGCCTAGATAACTGGAATACGAGTTGGCAGTTGATATCCAGAGTTAGTTTTAATGGCTTCAACTTATCTTAAATGAGACACACTGGCAGACCTCTAGAAGTTAGGTTAACACAACATGGATATTCGATATGAACATCTCATAAAATCATATGTGACATTAAACTACACCCTGGCTTGCGCTGACCCTACGAGTTGGTCGGAAGCCAGATTCCTGGCTCCTAGCCCCTCTTGGCTGGAAATAAATATTTTAGAATCGGCAGTTATAGAAAAGATAAACGTTCATTACATAATAATATTTTTGGTTTGTTCATACTTAACTCCTTTATATATGAGGTCATTACACCTAATCTGACGCCTGACTCCTAGTTGAATTTTTGCCTAAGAGTTGGGTGGGGTTAACATCTTGTTCACGAGTTGCCCTAGACACATTTTCTTTAATACAAATATACTAAAGTTCCTAAAAACAATTGACAGATATTTGTGGAATCAGAATTTAAAGTCTTTTATAATGAAATCGATTGGAGTCTGGTGGCATGTTGCTGATAACTGAGAAGTCACTAATATTGTGACTTCTGGGTCATTACTAAATATTCAGTGTTTCTAGGCGTTATATGCTTTAAGCTTATATTCTGCAATATGCTGTCTGCATTTTCAAGCACTTGGCACTATGCTTGGCGCCCATATCTGTTATTCTGAAGAGAGTCGTTCCCCTGAACCTTTAACAAAGCTTTTTCTAATCCTTTACAATAAGTGCACCGTGAATCCTCTACTGTGAACCTTAAAGGAGATGAATTGGCATAATATTTTTAAACGAAACAATAATCATACCCATTATTAACACGGGTACGAAAATTCTAGTTATGTTCTTACAAACTGAATAATTCAATTCCCGATTATTTGCAGTTATTTAAAAGTTCTTTAGAATTGCTCGTAATATATACAACTTACGAGAAGTTGAGGCCTTTGGCAAGGTAGTTCATCACCTCTGGCACGGGTCCTTTAAACTTAAACTTCCGTCCACCTGGAGTGTCAGAATCATCTGATAATATTATCTTGTTAAAGGGGTTCACGTCTGTCGCTGCAAGCAAATTTGGCCCATGAACAAATCTGATGGAAAAAACGGAATGGTATAAATTATTATCATAATATTTTCCTTAATAATTTTAAAATTTGGCCTTAGAACTATGGAATTATGGAACTATGGAAACAATTGCATTTTCCCCCCATACAATGCAAGGAATAATTTTGAAAATTTTCATTTTAGTTATATAAATTTAATGAGTTTAACATAAATCACAAAAAAAATCTCGTTCAAATATTATATACATAAAAACTATACAAACCTGGAAAATTTCTCCGGGAATAGTGGCAAGATGGAATGTGACACAATCCCACGAACAGGAGTCCAAGAAGCCACCAACAATGGTTCGGTTCCCTGGGGACTGAATGGCAAGTGAACGTACATGTTGCACCTGAAAGAAGATTATTGTATGACAAGTTTTTGTTTAGATTACGAATGTCCATATTTTGCTGATTACGAAAATAAATTACACATACACACACACACACACACACACCTACATACACACACACACCTACATGCAGACTTTTACGCACACACACACACACACACACATGCATGGGATGGGAAATCCTGTATCACAAACATACTGGAGTTCTATGACAGTGTAACAGCGGTAACACAAGAGAAAGAGAGTAGGGTGGGTAGATTGCATTTTCTTAGACTGTAAGAAGGCGTTTGACACAGTTCCACACAAGAGATTAGTGAAAAAACTGGAGGACCAAGCAGGGATAACAGGGAAGGCACTATAATGGATCAGGGTATACCTTTCAGGAAGACAACAGCGAGTCGTGATACGTGGCGAGGTGTAAGAGTGGACGCATGTAACAATCGGGGTTCGACAGGGTTCACTCCTATGACTAGTGCTGTTTCTGGTGTTTGTGAACGACATGATGGAGGAATAGACTCCGAAGTTACCCTGTTTGTAGATGATGTGAAGTTGATGAGAAGAATTCAGTCAGACAAGGACAAGGCAGGACTACAATGGGATATGGATATACTGCAGACCTGGTCCAGCTAGTGGCTCCTGGAGTTCAACCCCGCCAAGTGCAAAATCATGAAGATTGGGGAACAGGTAAAACTTGCGATTTTGGCTTAAGTGGTAGCGCTCTTCTTGCCGAATAACGCACGAAAACATTTTTGCATGCAATAATTTCGCAAAAATCGTTCTGAACCTAACTAAAAAAAATGCTTCATTGTGTTTATTATTAAATTATTGTAAACTTATCTAAAATATATTTAGTTGGGTTAGGCTAAATTAAATTATTCTTGTTATAATAAGGTTAGGTAAACTTTCTAAGTTCTTTTATTACAAAATTATGAATTTTTACTTTAACATAAATGAAAAAAAATATATCTTTAAACGTATAAGACAAAATTTTAGAAAAGACTTAACTTTAAATGAGTTCTTGCTAAATGACCAAGTTTTACCTATTCGGCACGATATATATATATATATATATATATTATATATATATATATATTATATATATAATATATATATATATATATATAATATATATATATATATATATATATATATATATATATATATATATATATATAATTATAATAATAATAATTTAGTATAAATTTTGCACCGAAAAAAATTAGAAAACTTATCTAACCTTATTATAACAAGCTCAATTTAATTTAGCCAAATCCAATTAAATGTATTTTGGATGAGTTTACAATAATTTAAAATATATGAAATATACTTTTTCTCGTTAGGTTCAAAATAATTTTTGCGAAATTATTGTATACACAAATTTTCGCTTGCCTTTTCCGGCAAGAAGAGCTTTGCTATTTATGCCAAAATCTCAAATTCTACCTATTCGGCACGACATACATGAATAGAAACCTTATGGTATATCGTTTTCCCAATCTCATTTTCACATAAGAATAATTACCTGATGATTGTTGGTCCATCTGTGATGATGAGCAGCATAGCGTTCATTTTGGAGAAGGCAGAGTAGTGTAGCTGCAGCTGCTGGAGGGGTAGACGGGTGACAACTAAGAGCCGCGTCGACCACACCAGAACACGGTGTTTTAGAGACAACTCAAAGAAGGAGTGTAGGAAGTCTGTGTTGTCGGTTATCACCACAATCGTCGCGGATGAGGAAAACTGGCTTAACTGTGGGACGAAATATGTATGGTTAATTTGCCTTCGTTCATTTTATTTATGAAGGTTTCTTTTTTACTAGAGCATCGTAAACAGACGCACGAGACACTCACTCATACACACCCTAACAAACACGCTCATACACAACACACAAACACACACACATACAACCACACACACACACACACACACACACACACATCTTAATAAGGAATCGTTCAGGACCCTGTACACCGTGTACTTCAGGCCCATATTGGAGTATGCGGCACCAGTTTGGAACCCACACCTAGCCAAGCACGTGAAGAAACTAGAGAAAGTGCAAAGGTTTGCAACAAGACTAGTCCCAGAGCTAAGAGGTGTGTCCTACGAGGAGATGAGGACAGGAGGACAGCAGAGAAAGGGGGGACATGATAACGACATACAAAATGCTGAGAGGAATTGACAAGGTGGACAAAGACAGGATGTTCCAGAGATGGGTCACAGCAACAAGGGGACACAGTTGGAAGTTGGAGACACAGATGAATCACAGGGATGTTAGGAAATATTTCTTCAGCTACAGAGTAGTCACGAAGTGGAATAGTTTGGGAAGCGATGTAGTGGATACATAGCTTTAAACAGAGGTATGATAAAGCTCACGGTTCAGGGAGAGTGACCTAGTAGCGACCAGTGAAGAAGCGGGACCAGGAGCTTGGAATCGACCCCTGCAACCTCAACTAGGTGAGTACACACACACACAAACACACACACACACACACACACACACACACACACACACACACACACACACACACACACACACACACACACACACTGCTGCATACTGGAGTATGCAGCACCAGTTTGGAACCCGCACCGGGTCAAGCACGTTAAGAAATTAGAAAAGTGCAAAGGTTTGCGACAAGGTTAGTTCCAGAGCTAAGAGGAATGTCCTACGAAGAAAGCTTAAGGGAAATCGGCCTGACGACACTGGAGGACAAGAGGGTTGGGGAGACATGATAACGACATACAAAATACTGCGTGGAATAGACAAGGTGGACAGAGAGAGGATGTTCCAGAGAGGGGACACAGAAACAAGGGGTCATTCTTGGAAGTTGAAAACTCAGATGAATCACAGGGATGTTAGGAAGTATTTCTTCAGTCATAGAGTCGTCAGGAAGTGGAATAGTCTAACAAGTGAGGTAGTGGAGGCAGGAACCATACATAGCTTTAAGACGAGGTATGATAAACCTCATGGAGCAGGGAGAGGGAAGATCCAGTAGCGGTCAGTGAAGAGGAGGGGCCAGGAGCTGAGTCTCGACCCCTGCAACCACAATTAGGTGAGTACAATTAGGTGAGTACACACACACACACACACACACACACACACACTCAGACAGGCACGCACACACGCAAACACAGCTTCAAAATTATGCTAAAGCCTTACCTTATGAACATAAGGAACAATGTGGGAGAGGAGAGAATGTGTTTTATTGATGTGAGACGGGATGACTGTAGCCTCAAACACCCCAACACCCCCGGGGATCCCCACATGTTCTATTATCTGAAATATGTGAGTTTTTTATTGCAAAGATCATATATATATATATATACATATATATATATATATATATATATATATATATATATATATATATATATATATATATATATATATATATATATATATATATATATATAATATATATATGTATACATACATACGTACATGAATGAGTATGGTTGTATGAATGTAAGCTCCTGTATTTTATTCTCATACGTTGCACCATTTATAAAAAAAAGCTACTTAGGTTATTACGTAGAAGACGGTGGAAGCGGAAGTGGTGCCATCTGTGAGGAAGAAGAGTGAGTAGTATGGTCTTGACACTGTTGTTAACACAGCCTCCACCACCTCCGCCTCACATGATAGTCCTTTATGTTGACCTGAAGGATATCCAAGAAATGTTTCAGTTTTGAATTTAAATTAACTCATGATTTTTCATTATGCTACCAGTTCTTTTCATATTGTCTTAGCCATCAAATCCTCGGAGATACCGAGGGATTGGCAGAGAGCATGCATAGTTCCTTTGTATAAAGGCAAAGGGGACAAAAGACTAAAAATTATAGGGGAATAAGTCTGTTGAGTATACCTGGTAAAGTGTATGGTAGAGTTATTATTGAAAGAATTAAGAGTAAGATGGACAGTAGGATAGCAGATGAACAAGAAGGCTTTAAGAAAGGTAGGGGGTGTGTGGACCAAGTGTTAACAGTGAAACGTATATGTGAACACTATATAGATGAGGGTAAAGAGGTTTTTGTGGCATTTATGGATTTGGAAAAGGCGAATGACTGGGTGGATAGGGGGGCAATGTGGCAGATGTTGCTGGTGTATGGTATAGGAGGTAGGTTACTGAAAGCAGTGAAAAGTTTTTACGAGGATAGTGAGACTCACGTTAGAGTATGTAGGCGAGAGGGAGATTATTTCCCAGTGAAAGTAGGCCTTAGACAGGGATGTGTGATATCACCATGATTGTTCAATATATTTATAGATGGGGTTGTAAGAAAAGCGAATGCTAAGGTGTTGGAAAGGAGTGTGGTGTTGAAAGATAAAGAATCTAACAGAAAGTGGCAGGTGTCACAGTTCCTCTTTGCTGATGACACTGTGCTTTTGAGAGATTCTGAAGAGAACTTGCTGAGGTTGGTGGATGAGTTTGGTAGGGTATGTAAAAGAAGAAAATTAAAAGAGAATATTGGAAAGAGTAAGGTGATGAGGATAACAGAAAATAAAAAGATGTCGAAAGAGTGGATATAAGATTGGAGGGAGAGTTTGAAGAAGGTGAATGTAATCAGATATTTACGAGTGGATGTGCCAGCAGATGGGTCTATGTAAGATGAGGTGAATCATACAACTGATGATGGGAAAAAGGTGAGTGGTGCATTGAGGAATCTGGGGAGACAAAGATCTTTATCCATGGAAGCAAAGAGGGGAATGTATGAAAGTATAGTTATACCAACTCTCATACGGTTGTGGAAAATGGGTATTGAATGCTGCAACAAGGAGAAGGCTGGAGGCAGTGGAGATGTCATGTCTGAGGGCAATGTGTGGTGCGAATAAAATGCAGAGAATTCATAGTTCGGAAATTAGGAGGAGGTTCAGGATTACCAAAACTATTAAACGGAGCACTGAGGAGGAGCTGTTGAGGTAACCCCGAACCTCTTGCAAATACCCGAGCATTCACTATATGCAATAAGATCACAGTAAACAGGTGTTATCAGAATATGGAAAACAACCACTGTGAAAGAATAGTGAAATTCCAAGCGCTTCTGTGACTTCTCACAAGTTTTGTTTTTATAGTTTCTTGATAATGTGAGAAGTCACGAAATCGCTTGGAATTTCACTATTCTTTCACAGTGGTTGTTTTCCATATATATATATATATATATATATATATATATATATATATATATATATATATATATATATATATATATATATATATATATATATATATATATATATATATATATAATATATATATATATATATATATATATATATATATATATATATATATATATATATATATATATATTTCTTTCTTTCAACGTACCAGCCGTATCCCACTGAGGCAGGGTGACCCAAAAAAGAAAGAAAATCCTCAAAAAGAAAATTTCATCATCATTCAACACTTTCACCACACTCACACATTATCACTGTTTTTGCAGAGGTGCTCAGAATACAACAGTTTAGAAGCATATACGTATAAAGATACACAACATATCCCTCCAAACTGCTAATATCCCAAACCCCTCCTTTAAAGTGCAGGCATTGTACTTCCCATTTCCAGGACTCAAGTCCGACTATATGAAAATAACCGGTTTCCCTGAATCCTTTCACTAAATATTACCCTGCTCACACTCCAACAGATCGTCAGGCCCCAAATACCATTCGTCTCCATTCACTCCTATCTAACACGCTCACGCACGCTTGCTGGAAGTCCAAGCCCCTCGCCTACAAAACCTCCTTTACCCCCTCCCTCCAACCTTTTCGAGGACGACCCCTACCCCGCCTTCCTTCCCCTACAGATTTATACGCTCTCCATGTCATTCTACTTTAATCCAGTCTCTCTAAATGACCACCTCAACAACCCCTCTTCAGCCCTCTGACTAATACTTTTATTAACTCCACACCTTCTCCTAATTTCCACACTCCGAATTTTCTGCATAATATTTACACCACACATTGCCCTTAAACAGGACTTCTTCACTGCCTCCAACCGCCTCCTCGCATTCACAACCCAAGCTTCACACCCATATAAGAAGGTTGGTACTACTATACTTTCATACATTCCCTTCTTTGCCTCCATAGATAACATTTTTTGACTCCACATATATCTCAACGCACCACTCACCTTTTTTCCCTCGTCAATTCTATGATTAACCTCATCCTTCATAAATCCATCCGCCGACACGTCAACTCCCAAGTATCTGAAAACATTCACTTCTTCCATACTCCTCCTCCCCAATTTGATATCCAATTTTTCTTTATCTAAATCATTTGATACTCAAACTGCAGCCAGTCTAGATTAGATCCTGCGGCACATTCTCTCGCCTCTAGAGACAGAACAACTTTCACTTTGTCTTACCCACTTGACCACCGATCCTTCAAAGATCACGCACCCAGCAGAGCTAGGTGTGGCTTGTGATCCCAGGACACTCGTGTTAGTGGTAAGCTTAAGGCTAATTACAACCACCTCCCTTTGAATACCGGCCTACATAAGCAGGTTATATAGTAATGAAACCATGAAACAAGTGGTACTGAAATATCTCGGCTGGCTGAAACATCTCGTCACACTGATATTCTGAATAAAAATGGTCGCTTCTCCTTGGTCTCCGGTGGAGTCGGTGAGCTGCTTGCTGAACCCATGAAGCTAATAATTTCTGATCGTATGGGGATTAGGTAAGGGCCAAATCCATATGCTTTTTGAGCATGTGATTTTCCCTGTGATCATCAGTACTGCACTACTGACTGGTACTCTAAAGCACACAAGAGTTGAAAAGGGTTGATTCACAGGTATAGTCACACACCAGCAGTCCTTTATTATTCCATCAATCTGGTAGGCATGTATATCTGGGCTGGGCTGTATTATAGCTTCTTTGTGTCTAACGTGCCAACCTTCAAAACTTGAATACACTTTAGTAAACTTGCCAAAATTCTCTCTACAGTGTTGCTGGCAAATTGCTCGTTCCATTGGCATTGATTGTGTACACACTCTCACAGCCGTGCAGCGCCGTACTCTTGTAAGTATCAAACTTCGAGAATAGGAGATGGCACATCAAACTCCTCCCTTTACGGGAGCCAGGAATAAAACTCCGATGTTCTCGCAAGAGGAAAATGATACATCACCTGAGCAAAATAGTCAGTCTCGTACAACAGGGTTGTCTGAAGGTGAATCTGCTGCGTTGGCACTTGAATTGGCGAAAATCAACCTCGAGCAGACTAGGGAACAGCGCTGGTTTGCCAGGGAAGAATTTGATAGAGAAAAAGACAGGAGGCAGTTTTCTCAAGTTGTAAATGACTTTAGTTTGCAAAAAGCAGTACAGCTGGTTCTCCATTTCATTTTCGAAACTTTCGAAAATCAGGCTCGAGCCTTGAGGTGGCCTGAACAGCACTGGGCATCTTTGGTGCATATAGCTTTTCTTGGTAAGGCACAGGAATTTATATCAGTGTTAAATGACACTGACTTTAGTAATTACCAACTGTTGAAGACCACAGTACTTGGAGCATATCAGTGTATTCCTGCTAAGTATAGGAAGTCATTCAAGTTAGGCAGACGACAGCTTGGTCAATCCCTGGTGGATTTTGTTAGACAGCAGACCAAAGCTTTTACCAGCTTGTATAAAGCAAGTGGTGTAGCAACCTTCGATGAGCTAATTCAGCTCATCTTAGTAGATAACCTGCTGGAGTCTGTGGGACCAGAGGTTAGAGTCTTTCTGCAGGACCGTGTCTTAACCACTGCATTGGAGGCAGCCACGTTGGCTGATACCTTTGAAACCAACTGCTCCTTGTCTGAGCGGTCCCATCTCTCTTTTCAACAGCCTGGCATGAGCAGAGATCGTCAACATTGGAGGATGAAGTGCCAGCAGGAAGGAGAACGTTTACGTCAACCACGCTACTCAACTTATGGTCAACCTGGTGAGCGATAAACCACTCAACATGGTGTATCTCAACAACAGTACCCTGAGCGACACCAGTTACAACGTCAGCAGGGAGCTAAGGTCAAGCCTGTCGTTTGTTTTCTGTGCAATAAAGTAGGTCACATCCGCCCTAACTGCCCAAATAAACCACAACCATTAGGGAAAATTTATAATGTCCATAGTAACATGACCTTGAAAGAAGTAGAGACAGGGATGGCCCCTTATTATTGCACGAGTCGTATATTCCTTCAGGAGGACTCAAAGAAAACTGAAGCCAGAACCTTTAGGGATACTGGAGCATATTGCTCGATTATAAGAAAGGGTGTACTTCCCCTTTCTGAACACACTTCATTACAATCCTCGGTTTTACTCAAAGCCTTCGGAGGATCGACTTTGTCTGTCCTCTTGCATAAAATATATATAGAGTGCAGATATTACACTGGATATTTGACTGTAGGTGTATCTGGGGGATTCCCTATGAAAGATATCATGGTATTACTGGGCAATAACATTACCACTTCTAGTGCATGTCCTGAAACCATAGTGATTAATTCTTCTCCGATGTTGGCCATAACTTGGGCAAAATCCCAAGGGATGTCTGGCGAGAATGCTGACCTATCCTTGGACGGCTCTGATCTCGGAATAGCCAATTTGTTTTAAGAGGAAAACTGGCCAGAGCCTCGTAAATTTAGCGAACAGACCCAGATCAAGCCTTCCTATTCCAGGGTTGCAGGATTGCCAAATGTCTCTGTTTCCATGCCCGAGGGACTGTCCTTCCGAGAGGAACAACGAAAGGACCCTTCTTTGAATTTCGCTTTTCAGATCATCCGGTCAAATATAAACTTAAAAACGACTATTTGATCTGCACTGAGACTGGTAAGGAGATAGAGGGCCGGCAACTGTCAGACAGGTTAGTGGTTCCAACAAAGTTTAGACCTCAAATATTGAATATAGCTCATAACACTTTATTAGGAGGTCACTTAGGAATTACTAAAATTTTATTAAGAATCTCAAAAGAATTCTATTGGCCAAAATTAAGGCAGGATGTGAAGAGTCATATCCGCTGTTGCCGAGAATGTCAGCAAGTAGAGAAACCTGGACATTCCATTAAACCTGCATCTCTCCAGCCTATACCTGCTGATGGAGAACCTTTTGCAGAATTAATTATAGATTGTGTAGGTCCACTACCTAAGTCCAAGTCTGGAAATCAGTACTTATTTACCACTATGGGTAGAGTAACTAGATACCCAGAAGCAATTCCCATGTGCAGTATTAGTACTAAAGCCATTCTCAAGGTTTTAGCCAAATTTATCTCTTGTTTTGGCATTCCTAAATCTGTTCAAAGTGATCAAGGTGCTAACTTCACTGCCAAAGCATTGAGGAAAGCATTAACTAGGTTAGGGATAATCCACAACTTATCCACTTCCTATCAACCTCAGTTCCAAGGTGTCTTGGAAAGATTCCATCAGACGTTAAAAGCCATGATGAGAACATTTTGTATGTATTTTCCTACAGACTGGGATGAATCACTACCTTTGTTGCTGTTTTCAATAAGAGAAACTGTGCAGGAGCCTACCGGGTATAGTCCGTTTGAGCACAATGTACGAGGTCCTCTTCGGGTGCTCAAGGAAGGATGGATGGGAGAACACCTTAAATCAACACTCTACAACCCGTCTTCAAGGTTCCAGGGGGTACGTCAGTTAGCCAAGGCCAACTTAAAGGCAGCTCAAAAAAAAAAAAATGAAACAGAGGTATGACAGAAATGCACAATTTCGCTTCTTCCATCCAGGAGACAAGGTGTTGGTACAGGAACCTGTATCTGGCCACACCTTGTAAGCTAGATTTACGGGACCTATGCAAATTGTAAGTAAATTATCTGATGTAAATTATATGGTATCTCCCCTGGATAAGACTTCAAAAACTAAAACTTACCACATTAATCAATTAAAATCTTTTCATACACCAGATAAAGTCCCAGTAATGACTGTCCTGTACCTCTGAGGACGACTCTGACTCTTTGCGCTCTATTTCTGAAATTAATGTCAAGTTTCCAAACTCTGTTCTCCTCAACAACCCTAGCCCTTTAATGGTGGTATCTAAGATTCAAGTAACAAGTTCAACTGCGCTTCTACAATCAAACTCTGATATTTTTTCGGATGTGCCGAGAAAATGTGCATTAGGTTATCATGATGTACGTGTGGGAAACTCTAAACTTATTAAATTCTCCCCCTACAAAGCTAATCCTGAAAAACAGAGATTACTTCGGCAGGAGATAAAATTTCTGTTAGAGAATGGATGTTTTTGAATGTGTACAGACTACCGTAAAGTGAACTAGGTCACAATTACAGATGCTTACCCTCTTCCTCGTCTGGATGACGTAATCGACTTTGTGGGTAAGGCTACTTTTGTGTCCAAGTTAAATCTCCTTTAAGGTTACTCTCAGGTACCTTTCACGGATAAGGCGAAGGAAATCTCTGCCTTCGTAATTCCAGGAGGTCATTATCAATATACAGTTACCCCCCCCCCCTTCGGAATGAAAAACTCTCCCTCTTCATTCCAGAAACTTATCCATCAAGCTATTAAAGGACTTGAAGGCATGGCAGCTTACCTAGATGACATAGTGGTTGTGTCTGATACTTGGAATCAACACCTGTTTAGGCTTAAGGCTTTCTTTGAGACTTTCCAGGGTTCCCACTTAACTGTTAATTTACCTAAGTCTTCCTTTGGCCAGGCTACTGTGAACTTCCTGGGCCATGAAGTAGGTAGTGGCAAAGTTGCCCCTAAATTTGCTGAAGTTCTTGCCATTAAAGATTATCCAGTTCTTCATGGTAGGAAATCTCTTCAACTTTTCCTAGGCATGATAGGATTTGACAGTAAAAAAAATTAAGATATTGTAGCCCCTCTTACCTCTTTAATTGGACCTCAGAATGTCAAAATGCTTTTACGAAAGCAAAAGGATTATTGTGCACTGCACCCATTCTTTTGTCTCCAGATTTCTCAAAATCTTTCTCATTACAGGTTGATGTTTGTGAGTCTGGGGTTGGGGCAGTACTGTTGCAAGCCGGGAACGATGGGCTGCAGCCTGTAACCTACTTCTCAACCAAGTAGCAGCCGCATCAGAGGGCTTACTCTACCATTGAAAAAAAAAAAACCTCGCGCTGGTACTGACCTTGGAGCACTTCGATGTTTACGTGGGCCAGACTTCACAACCCTCTAGTGCATCTCCAAGCCATGAAGAACCACAATACGAGGCTCATGAGGTGGGGTCTATGGATGCAGCCCTATTCTCTCAGAATAATACACATTGCCGGCAAAGAAAATAAATTGGCAGACTCATTGTCCAGAATCTAGAAGTTATATGTATTAGGTTAGGATGTGTTAGGGACCTATGGTAACTTGCGATGCTCTTTTTTCCCCCTTTTATATATATTGAGTATTTATTGTTATGGTTTTTTTTGTTTTAGCCAGGAGATACGGGCTACCATCCGCCCGTACCTTGGACCTACGTTAGCCCTACTGTCTGCTGTCTTGCTCTGAGTTTAGAGTTTGGCTTTATGTCATGAGTAAAGTTGAGCTCTACCTAAGAGTTGGATGGTTGAGAGGAAAGGCGGTCCCATGATACTGTGCCATAGTGGCACAGTTACCAGTGGGAGGTGGGAGCCTATTCCTGAGCCCTCTCGGGGTGGGGATGTGGCATGCAAAGTATACGTAACCTTTATTCGGCGAATGTACCCACCCTCATTGAAAGGCTATCTCCCCTACCAGCAAACCAGTACTAAGGGTTGAATGATGGGGCCCCATCGTTCGATCAGTACTAAGGTTCAACCAATGAGAAGGTAGGTGTGGAAATTGTGAAGGTGTTGTGGTCATCATCCACCTGTCCACCCTTGTCATTTCCATTTTAGAGCTGGTTGAGCACGGTTGTCCATTCTGTCTCCAGGCTGTGTCTTTGCTTTGCCTAAACCGTGTTGTACACATACATTTCCAACTTTATATAGTGTACAGATTTGTATATAATTATTATTGCTCTTGGTGAAAGAAAATATATTTCAAAGTAATT